CTGGGAATCTGCATGAGGAGGGGGAGCCATATAATGTAACTTCAGCATGCATTTAATTCAACATAATGCAACGATTTCCGGGAAGCACATCTTCAAAACCTGACTGACTCCTTCAGTTTCCTGCAAAACTTGTTCTTGTTTAGGGGGGGAAAGCACTCCCCATACAGGCTACAGGTTATCCACTTTGCCCGGGTATGCGGGAAAAAAACAAGACTTACAATCAATCGTTTTGAGAGACACATTGTTGTGCAACATGCCCAGGAAGCAGGACATATCATTTATTATGCATGCTATATATAATCAACCAAAGTCAAGCTGTCCAAACTACTTATATAGGACGTTTTGAGACCGAAGTACTCCAGAAATCTTTGGATGCTTGGATTTACATGTCTTTTGGCTTTTGGCGGGCAATCCTGCAATAGCCACTAGACAAGTCCTCCTAGTTCAATACGTGAATCTGCGGTGATCGAATCAGCCGTGGTTTCCCGGTCCTTTTGGGGATCCAAGGGTCTCTTCAAGAGCTGTGTGCTCTCCCCGTAGCGGACGCTTTGACCATCTCCCATGCCTTAGTTTCTGCGCAGAATGCGTCGGAAGGACTGCGATTGAAACCATGGGGAGACATCGTCATCAAGGGGTTACATGGCCCTTACACGGGCCATGTTCTTGTGCAGCCCTGCAGCATCCTGCAACACCTTTTTGGCGGGTCTCAATTGAGGTGACTTCCACCGAAGGCGACATATATCCACCGAACCGACCCGGCCCACCAACGGTGAATCGTCTGAAAAAAAAGGACGAGGTCCCCGCGACGAGTTCCGGTGCTCCTGGACTACCTTGGTTTTGACGAACTGTAACTTGGTAATTCCTCGTTTGCCACGGTTCTTGACTGCGTGGTGTATGCATTGATCTGCTACTCTGGTGTGGTACATGGGCTGGTTTCATCTTGCTTATCTTTTCCCTTTCTGCTGCCACCTCCCGACGTCCCAACATGCCCAGCCACGGCCTTCTTCCAACTCCTGCCATGGTCGTGCTGTTCGTGAAACCGGGTCGGGGGTCACCAGGATTCAGCTGAAGATGATGTGTGGAGCAATGCGGCTTTGACACGAATCAAGGACTGACAGGTTCTTTAGCCCATACCTGGACCTTCCAATTGCGTAGGATTTCTGCCCATTCATCGATGAAACCAGCCAGCAGGCTGAAACTTGACCTAGTTTGGATGGCGCCTTCTTTTTGAGCGGTCGCCATGTAAGATATTTGTGAACATGAATCGCTCCCTAAAGGACATGGAACGCATGGAACTGTGGCCGAGATGCAAAAACAAATCTACAGTCTACACTCTGACTCACTAACATGCAATTGGACAATGGCCCCCCTCGAAGACTACTTTCCTTCAAAAAGGAGGGCTACCTCAACCAGGGGTGCTCTGACTGTACCTGGGTAGTGAGGTGCGGGGTGATTTGGAGCATTACTTTTAAACCTAGAGCTTGGGCATATCATGGTAATACCCTCCCATTCCCTGTAACAGTGGACGACGATGCTTAGTAATTAGTAAAGATCTTTCTCAAACATAGTTAGAACCTTTTACGCCGACTGGTACAGGTAGTCAGACAACCCCCGCAGCCACAAACGTTGAAGAACAACCGTCATGGCTCTTTCAGAAAGGGTGGTAGGTGCCACCCGTTCTCAATCGACAATGCCTTTGTTCAGAACAGCTCAGTAACTGCAAGTAGAACAGGCCACCTGTATCCACAGCAAAAGTCCTAACGTAGACTCTGGGGAGACCTCATGATATGGAGTTTTTTTTGTTTTTGGGATCAAGAGTCTACATTAACATGACGAGGAGTGGCAAAACTGACACACCTTCACCTCAAAATCTAACAGTCAAAACAACCGAAGGACTTTGAAAGCCTGAAGCTATCACTTACAGTTCTTCAATACGTAGTATGTAGTTGAGAGTCTGGGACATGCCAATGTGGGAAAACATGAAAATGAGAACCCGCATCCAAACAAGGACCTGATCACCCTTCCACCTCCCCAGAAGCTGTTGATCGCCTGAAAAACCCGGCACGTCCAACAAAAACAACACGCAGTGAAGCACTCGAAGCAAGACGATCAGGTTCATTCTGACCGGCTGCCAGTCAGCAGGGGTCTTCTGACCGTAGATGAGTAGATGAGAGTAGAGGGGGTGTGGGGTGTTTGGAGCATCACTTTAGAGCCAAGGCATGGTATCAACTGACTCTGCAGTATCCCTGAAATTAAATATGTAAAGGTTAACCAAACTTTCCACCTGTTCTTGTCTTAGTGGGGGAACCAATTTTTCCCAAAAATATATTCCACTGACTGGGCGGGAAGTTCATCTCAGCCTCTCTTGGAGCTGGTGGGATCACAGTCGGAAACTCCTCTGTGAACCAGTGACTTCTGTTGCCCGGTTCAGGGTCTGGAAACACCACAGCAGCAAGGTCCTTAAATGCAGCCCTCACTGTCTCCGCATCATTTCTTTCCAGCAGCACCACGCCATCACGAATCCTAGGAGCCAGGAGGGCCAGGAGAAGAACCCCACGCAGCGGCCGCCGAATTGGGCACTCCGATGTGAGTACAGTCAATGATGCTGCACCAGGACGGTGCCTCTAAACCTCTGCCGTGACTAGGCTCGGCCGAAGTGACCTCATCAGTTCGGGTCTTCGAAGGTCCTAATGCTTTCGGAGGGTCTGTGTACTGGAATGGCTTCGTTCGTCACCTCTGCCGTCGCTGCATGGCTTCAAGTCACTCTGCCTCATCAGGTCTCATCTCCTAGTCGACCTCCTCCATCTGCCATGATACAAGTAACCACAAGTCACCACCAAACACGTCCTCAAGGCCTACCAGCCACGAGGACGAACATGCATCCTCGCCCAACTGGGCCCCACTCGTTTGGATTTGGGTTCTTCCGAATTGTTCCCCGGAAAGAATGGTAGTCTATCTCCATATATCTCCATCTCCCGGACCTGTCATGACCTGGCAATCCTTTTTGGGCCAAGTCCTCGCTCTGACTCCTTCAATTTGCCTGCCAAAACGACCCCCCACTCTTGCTTAATAAACCCCCTCATGTGAAATGGACATCCTCTCCAAGCCGGGGGGGGGTTTAATGGTTAACTAACCAAGAGTCTACATTAAAGGTTATTCACTGAAGTCCTGCTGATGCCTGCCCAAGGCTCAAGACCTCTGCAACCTCCTCCGCAGAGCTGCTGCCCTTGAGCCGTGCGAGGCGTGGCACGGAAAAGACGTCGCCCTGGAGGAGCAAGGCCGACGCAGCGATCAGCGCGAGCAGTGCCAGGGAGGACCAACGGCGCCTGAGTCGTTGTCGACTCGTCAAGAGAGCGCGGACGACAAGGGAGGCCAAGAGCATCAAGACTGAAAATCCTAGTGGCATATGTATATATATATCTATATCTGTGTGTGTTTTTTATCTTTTGCGTATAGCTTTATAGTTCATAACAAGTTTGGCTTGCCAAAACGGGTCTTTCTGCGGGGGGGTGTATACAGAGCGGGTACAAGAAGTCCAATCACCTGCCTGATACAGGTGTACAACACATCCAACAACCCTTTGGCATGTGTTTGGTTTGGACCGGGCCTGACTGGGAAGAACGGGAAAGCCTCCGAAGACTACACAGCATGTTGACATGGTCAGGTGCAGTGATGATCTGCACAGTTCTTTCCCGCAACCAACGCAAAGCATGTCATGAGGTAGATCACTCAAACATAGAACTGAGAACGCGAGGAGCCGGGGAGTAGCTGGTTCAGGGAGCACCCCATCACCTCAAAAAGGCCATCAACAAGGTCAACCCCTTTGGAGTTCCTAGGTCTGGACCTTGTTCACCGAAACGACTGTCTCCTGCTCACATGAGTTCGGAAGTTGGGATGTTGCTTGCAGCTGAGCAACATCGGCTGCTTCGTTTGAGCCGTCATCAAGGCAACATGGCAGGACCACGCACTCACCAGGAACGTCAAGTTGCTTATGAATGTATTGGTTATAATGTAATGTGTGGGTTTGACGAGGCCTAGTTGTGCCAAAAGGCTAACACAAAAAGGGAGCGGTGTAACGCATACACGCCCACATGCGTCATCATGCGTCAGAATAGGGTCCACAAATCGTTATATGGGTATATAGAAAAAGGTGCATAATTACTTATATAAAAAGAACAATTGAATTGATCTATTGCGTTGCGTATAGGCGGAATTCTGTCCTGTTTTCCAGCTTCACGGCTGAAATATGGAATGCTGACTGCAACTGTCTGCTACGAGCTGCAGTCAGACTTTCGACTTCAATTGGACATCCCCTTGGATTGTATATGGTAAATAATAATCAGCATCATCTTTCCCTGTATTTCCCTTTAGCATTTCCACAGAAAGCGATCCTTGATCCTGCGGAACCGGCAGATCGATCCGGCAGAGTCCGCGGCGAGTACGTCCACGCGGACGCTGCCGGATAAGCGTCTCAGAGCCACACTACTGGCGAATACGGGACCCGGACTTGGACCCCTGTCTTCAACCGCCCCTTCGGTTCTACATCTCCGGCCATAACCGGGGGGGGGTTGATGAATCAACAGTCAACCGTGAGGGGTGATGATCTCTTCATGCTGGGAAGAAATGGCGCCCAAAGCCCTTCCATTGAAGAAAATGGGTGCGGACATCACTCATGTGAACTCATGCTCAACTGTACTTTTGAAGATCCAGGCCAGGTGCCAAAGAATACAGCCCCATTCGCAACAGCCGGAATGTGCGGTGAAGCCTCCATCAATCCTTCAAGGACTTGAAGCACCCTTCACACTCTTCATTGGTATCAATATATATATATATATATTTAGTTATTTTTTATATATACAGTATCATATATATTTTGCAAAGGATTGGATAAGCCAAAACACCATGTTAGCCCTCGTAAAAGCTTGCAAAGCAAAAGCAGCTAAGACTCCGCGGCACCCTCTTGCCACTCCTGCTTCGCTCCTACGCCCTTTGTTGACTGCTCAGGTGGAGGTTTGGTCACGATGCAGTTTGCTGAAGTAGCGACAAGCCGTGAGCCACTTCAACATCTCACTCTCAGTCACATCGTGGTCGCCTTCTACCATACCCCATCCTCGAGACGCTGGGTCGGATGGGACCCAACCACCAAGTGAAGGATCTAACCACTTCGCACTCCAATAATGGTAGACCATTAAGATCCAACAGAGTCACACGGCACAAACGGGAACATTTCGGGGTCGACCATGAAGGGATTCTGTTTGGTCCAAGTTCTGAAAGCCTTCATCAAATTGTCCAGAACAGTCAAAAAATGTCTGAATGTTGCTAGAACACCCTCAAGGGTCTCAATAGATCACTCCAAATAATAAGACTTTGACAACATCATGGGTGTTGGCAGCTTTTTTTTGCTCCAAACAGGTGTGCCTGTCACCCATCGACCTCTTGAAGAATCAGGTCATGGCCCAGCACAGAAAGCTGAAGAGGGAGGGAGAAAACCATCACCGCCCAAAAAACCACGCAGCTTCGATTTGAGCATTTGAATGGCACAATCTAGGAGAAGCTTCGGCTCTTAGGTTGGTTGGATTGAACATTCTTTGACTTTTCCTGGGGTCCGTAGGGGGTACGAAGCAGTGGAACCAGCATCGCAAGGACATTGAGGTGGTTCTACCATTGCCCCAGCAGAAATGGGGGTCACCGGGCTGCTGGTCAGGGGGTGCTTTGGAGCATCACTTGAGAGGCTAGAGTGGTATCAACTGGCTCCCTCGGTTTCCCACTTTTCCTGGGTAGGTCTTGTAAGTGAACGGGAACCACCTGCGAGGCTTGAAAGGAACCCACTGAAGGCCATACGGCCATCCGACTGGGGGCCGAGCGTTCGACTTGGAAGTCCTCCTCCAACTGTGCCAATCCTGAGAGCTGGCAGGGCCATCAACCAATCTATCCATCCTAGATGTAGAGCTTGCAAAGCCATGGAGAACAAATGTAACAAATCTTAAAAGTATGCATTCTCTTCAAGTAAGATCTTCATGTTTTTTTTTCAAGAACCTAGGCAAGTGCAAACTGGACATGAAAAAAACATCATGTCCAGTTTGCACTTGCCTAGGTTATTGAATGCGCGATGCCTAGGCATGTGATTGAACACCGCAGCATTTGCGGCTGCAAAGCCCTGAAGAGTCCCAAGGGGGACGAAAGCTAGGCATTTAATACCTTGCTGCAGTCGTAGAAAAGCCGCGTTGGGCTTGAGCGACTCTCGGCTCATTCCCGAGTCACATCCTCCCCCAGCCTCTTTCAGCGGCCTCCGTGCTTCCCAGGCTCGGATGGCCTCCTCTGCAAGGCAAGTCTCGCGGTCCACCAAGGCGCTGGCCACGATGAAGGATTTCGCCTTCATCGCACCCAGGACCCCCAGACCGGCGCGCCAGCGCATCCGAAGTCCAAGAATCTCTGGCACCAAAGAAGCTGAGAAAAGACATCCCTTTCAACTGGACTCCTCAGACTCAGAAAAGACTCGAAAGGATCCTTCCATACTCAAGACCATGTCATACCCTGTCAATGTTAAGTCTTGGACTCCCAGAAAGCCTCACACTCCCCACATGGGACAGGCCACGAAGGAGTCAACTCCCTAGAAAGGGTGCCAGAAAAAAGGCCCAAACTGGAGGCTTTCAACGACATCACCCTTATTCAAAGGCGCCAAGGTGGTTTTCAGCTGCTTTATGCTGTTTTTCAATGAAGCGTGATATTCCAAGATTGGAGTTTTCTAGGGTCTTTCCTTCTTCGTGCGCACGATGTTTACGTATCTGTCTGTGTCCTGCAGCTGTGTGCTGCTCCGGCGATGTCGCGATCAATCGTGGAGCAGCCGCAGGAACCCATGACGATACAAGTACAGTAGAAGAAACATGAAGAAACCCATATGGGGAGTATCTTCTAAAGTTGGGTGGAAACAAAAGAAGCGGAACATTAGTGCAAAAAAAAAAAGGCCCGTGGCGGAACAGGGCATCAAGCGAACGAAAACTGTGGCGACCACGGATGTTGGACCGAACGCTCTCAGTTCCTACCCATGGTACCTCAACCCTACTCTTCGGCCCGGCGGATGGAACGATCTCCACCGGGTGACCGTCTGGGTGGCGATTTCCAAAGCACAAAGCTCCCAAATGTCGCGTGACAAGAGCTGCTCGGTGACACGAAGGATGGTCTCCTACAGGGAGACGAGTATTGGGTGAGACGCAAGAACAATTGCCAGCACCACCCCAAAGAGGGGTTTGTACACCCCTGACTGGGCATTTTTTCCTTCCAAGAACCATCCTTTTAGGTGGTGCTGGTGGGCACGACTCGTCACTAAGCCGTCTCACAAAAACGCCCTACTTCAAGTGACGCCGAAGTCTTGTTCTATCAAGATTTGCTCTGATGGTTGGCAAACCTGATGATTCTCCATCAGATTCACCTTCTATAAGGCAAACGCAAGAGGGAACGAGGGAACACATATACACATTTGGGCACCCCTTAAATTGTGCATGCTTTCAAGGCGCGTCAATTGCAGGACCTGCTATGCCCTTTGCTGCATGAAAGGTGACTACACCTGACACAAGTGGTACAATGACATGCCGCAACCTAACCTTAAAATAAATCTGACAACACATGCACGTCTCAAACTCACTTCTCCATGGTTGTTTGATCTGTGATGGTCTGTGCGTCTGCTTGAAGATCATGAAGGGCCGGCATCAGGTTTATGTGTTCTTTCCACGGGCACCAAACACACAAAGAGAGCTCGCGCTGCGCCTCTGGGTGATTGGGAGACGCCAGCCCAGTGGCTACTCCAAGCTTCACATTATACCTGGAGTCATTGTGACTTCCGACCCCTTTCTCTGGCAAAACCCATGTCCACCTGTTCGTGGTGAAATGGGAAAACCACTCCAGTCCTGGTTTGTCCTCCAATAACCCTCTCAAAGGGTATGTAGATCCATAGGGTTTGTGGTCCATTCAGTTGTTGCTGGCGTGCCTTTCTTACTCCCCAAATCCCTGGCCCCAGAAGGGGCCCGGCCCACAGGGCATGAGACATTGAAAATAACATGAAGATGAGAAAACAACGTCAAAAAAAACAGCCAAACTTCAAACACAGAAGTCCAATATAATATAGTACAATACTGACTCCCCTTAGCTTCCTGGAACATAACGTTAAACGTTTTGTCCTTATTGAATGGGGAAGCCCATGACTGATATGGGAAGGAATAAGAATACATCCGATCTGGGGGCGAAACACTCTGTTTCGCTGCCGTCTTTTCTCAGCCCAGAAACTCAGATTCAAACCATTCTCGCAAAGGTCCCCATTCTTGCCGTTGTCGATCTGCCAGCAAGTCTTGCTCTCCTTGAAAGCACACCTGAAAGCAAGCCAACAAATCACGCTGTTGAGTCAGTTCCGCACATGGAACGCGCGCTGAAAGGTCTGGCGGATGGAAGTAGAATCTACCATGGGCGACTTGTCACCTGTCCTTGATTCCTTCGTGGGAATGGCCTGTCAGCAATACTTTGGCATCCAAGTGTAACTTGATTTATCTCACCCTTCTCGTCTTTGGGAAGTCCCACTGACGAAAAACAAGTAAAATGCAAAAATTCATTGGAGAAGCTTTCTTGTGATCTGCACTTGCATAGTCCATAAATTAACATAAATGTTGTCCAATTGGAAAGAAGGTCCCAAGACATAGGCTTGAGGGCGCTAGACGTACGGCCAACTACCTACGAAGCATTCTTAGGCTGAGATGATTGACTTTTGATCAGCTGTCAACATCTACCTCCTTCATCCTCCTTCCATGTCAACCAAGGCTGTACCGGGGACAGCCCAAATATCGTCAATCATATTACAACACATATGTACTACCTTGTCTACTTCTCTCCCTGCTTCCCTGCCCTGCTCTTGATCCCGCACAGCTCAACCTCTACTGCTCCTAGTAGCGCCTCCAACCTAAGTGCGATGCCCTCCAACCCGGAAAATACATAAAACCCCTGCCATGATGCCGTGTCCATCTCCAGGAAGGGTAGCAGCCGATCGACACAGGCCGGAGGATCAGCTTTGGTGATGTCCAAGGCCGTACAGCCTCGACTCACCAAAATCGGTTCATTTGCAGTGGGGAATGGCCTGCAACCTGCCTCCAATCTACTAGCGATGGCCTCCAATCTACTAGCGATGTCCTCC